GAATCCTGCAAGTACAAGCGATACTTATCTAAAAGCCAATCCCACCAGTTCCCCGAATTCCCATAGTGCAAGCCAGCAGAATGGTAATCGATGATGCACTCTGCATAAAGGGAGAATGGAGGGGCGCGCGCGCGCGTGTGAGTTTCTCCATCGTATTAAAACACGTGGGCAGGAGCCGTAGTACGTCGAAGGGGAAGGAAAGAAGGTGCACGCGCGCATAGTTCCGGGACACGCCGCTCGTGGCGCTGACCTCCATCGAGTTTGCGTAATAGGCGAAAAGCCCGCACCGAAGGACCGAGGGAGTGAGAGAGCGGGAGAGCGAGATAGAGAGGGAGCCAGAGCGAGCCGGGGACGCGCGTTTCGTCGAGCTGCGCCATTAGAGCCCGAGGTCCGCGCCGCGAGTACACGGGAAGAGACTGAACCATTACGAGACGAGTACAACAGCGGTACGCGTATCTACGTGGAGGCCATCATCGCGAGATTCGAGGTATTTCGTGCACTTAATGGTGACGTTCCATTTCGCCCCCGCTCGATATAAATCCGTTTATCATTAAATTCTCAGTGTATGTATCGCTTTCCCACACTCTCGCGTTTCTATAGCTTCGAATTTTCTTTTCGCCTCTTTTTCTTCCTCCTCCTTCTTTCCACTCCCCCTGTAGCCCCTTTCCTTCCTCCTCATTCCACTTTCCAGCCCCTGCCTCCTGCCCGCTCACGCTCGTTCGTTCGCGCTCTCTTTCTCTCTCACTTACGTACGTTTATACTTAGACTCGTTTCTCGTTTACTTGTAGTCTTAAAGCGCGTGCACTCATGATCATTTTCGTTTATGATCTTGGAAGCGGTGGTTAGATCGACGAGTGTGCAGATAAACAAAAAAAAAAATTCATTAAAGGCAGTGAAAGTTACCGATCATCGTTCTTTAACGATGCCCGCTGTGATTTAGATGATAACATTTTTGTAAAGGCGCCGACGAGAGACATAGGAATAGAGAGAGAGAGAGAGAGAGAGAGAGAGAGAGGGAGAGAGTGAGAGAGAGAAACACAGAGCGAGGTGGCAGTGAAGGTGGAGGTAGTGGTGGTGGTGGTGGCGGTGGCGATAGGTGGCGAAGGGCAACGAAGGGAGATGAACGGGGACGAGGTAGTAAAAGAGAGTGAGAGAGAGAGTGCAGAGAGTATGTCCTAATACAATTATTAAATCTCCTCTCAGTGTCAAAGATAAGAAAATTTCTCTGCAGTAGGTACGTACGGCAACTTTACTAGAGAAATTCTGTCCCATACGTAACGATCTTTCGTCATCATTTCTCGTGAATGTGATTTCTTCAAAGTTGTATTCAAGTTCGTGTAATCTCTCTTGGTACGATCGCGAGTATCATCTCATCTTAATGTCACATTAAAGTCTTTGCTGCTTGGCAACCTACTTTTGACTTTAACTATAAAAATATACGACAATGATTATTTATAATTTATCGCGAGCAAATGGGTCCTTGTGCAAAATATTTCCCGAATGCGACGAGTATATCTCCATTAAAGTTAAAATCCATAATTTAAAGCGACGCTTCTGAGTCGAAAAGTGAAAACGTAACATCGAATACTAAACTATTAAAATAATTATCGTACATTGGGTCATAAAAACGGTATGAAATACATGATATTTTCGCATGAGGACAAACGCATTACCGAGTGCTCCCTCCTTCTCTCCCTCTTTTCCATTAAAATCGCGCTCATTCATTATTTATCATTCTTTCGTAATGACCGACCAGTGTAACCCTTTTTTGCTCTTATAGCTATTTGACAAAACTCAAATGTTATAAAGAAGTCTTATTGATTTAACAGTGAGTTAAGAAGAAAAAAAAAATAGAAACGCTCTATCGAATAATAAAGTGACAAAAGCTTGCAAGCAATTTAATTCGTAGCGTCTCTTGGGCGAAATGGCATTCCCTAATAAGACGCTCGGGATACACGCGCGCGCGCGCGTGTGCGTGTGTGTGCGCACGCGCTCGCGTGTGTGTATCAGTGTGTGTGTGCATGCCTGCGTATGACAGAGAGAAAGCGAGAGAGAGAGAGAGAGAGAGAGAGAGAGAGAGAGAGAGAGAGTCGGATCAGAGTAGATGTCGCGCATCCTTTTCCATTAAACAATAACGATTGATATAAGTAGCTTTCGTTTCTTCCGCGCAGTTACACATTAGTGACTCATATCGAGAAATGATATAATAATGAAAAAAAAGTTTATCCTCGCGTACTACAGTTTACAACTGCCAAGACATAACGAGTAAGTTGCATTAAAATTTTCCAACCTAACGAAGACTCGGCAATCACTAATTGGGCTGCGTTTCTCGCGCGATATGTAAACCATTGCAGATTATAACCGACGCCTGATGATTTGATAAGAATAAAAATCGCGACCCATTGGGCATATGGGGCGAGTCAGCCATTTAAGCACCCATTCACAAGAATGCCTGCAAGCGCAACAGCACCCTAACGTATAAGACTTATGCGTATATAAGTATTCGTAGTAAAATTCGTAGTAGTAGCAGTAGTAGCCATGGTAGTAGTATTAGTAGCCATGGTAGTAGTAATATAGTAAAACTTTTCCTCGTGTAAGTCACCAGTCAACCGATATCCCCCCCCCCCCTCTCTCTCTTCAGCCGTTTCGCTCCCTTATCGGATCAATGGCAGAGGGTCGCTCGGTACGTGCGCTCCCGAAATCTCCACCCTCCAGAAATTTCTCACTACGGCGCATACACGAGCTGGTCCTTTCTGTGTGCGCCCGCGCCTGTTTGTGTGCGAGCGCGGGTGTGCGTGCCCATCTGTGTTTACGTGGAGGGGAAAGGGTTTGTCCTTTTTTTTCTTCCCCTTTCCCTCCGCAGACTCCTACTCCAACTTCTGCGGCACTGGAGACCTTGAGATGCTGCTGGTACGGCTGGTGCTGGTGCTGCTGCTGTTGGTGCTGCTGCTGCTGCTGCTGTTGCCGTTGCTGTTGCTGCTGCTGCTGCTACTGCAATGACTGAGAGCTATAAAGTTTTGTCGGAGCGTGGCGTTTTTCATTGATTAGGAGGGCCAAGCAATTTTTTCTCCCCCAGGTCTGACTGTCCCTACGCTTATCGTTTAGTTTATTCGCTTTTCGGCGCGATCTGCACGACCGGCCCCGTGTTATTAAATAATTCGCATTTGAGAAGGATTACGATTGTATTGCACTGATGTAGTATTTTATAAATTGTTGAAAGTGCAGTTTTATTAACTTTTCTTCGTCGAAGGATATACAAGTTTCAGTGTTGTTTTATTTAAGCACATACTAAATAAAACACCATGAATTTTATCAAACATAGCTAGCTCATTGAAATAATCAATATTTTCATGTCTGCATCTATTTTTGAAATATTCGATAACGGTAATAATGTTTATACACACACGCGCGCGCACGCGCGCGCACACACACACACACACATAAAAGTATAGTTACACTAATATAATTTTAAAATCATTATTACAATTTTGTAGAAATTAAATTTTAAAGGTACGACCGATGCTTTGTAAATTTTTAAATTTATTTAAAAAAAAAAAAAAAAAAAATTGAAAATAATACATTTATAAATGTTATTTACAATTATTAACAATACCTACGTATTTTGAAGGAAGCGTTTGAGCAAAAAGTGACGATTACATTTGGTCGACTAAATTTACTTGCTTATTTGTTTTTGCGATAAAAACAACAAAAGTTGTATAAATACTGCGTTTTACAGTTACCTAAAATCTTTATGCATACTGAAAACATAATGATTATTCAATAAGATTTTATTGTCTTTTCGAAGAATAAGGTCAAGTGGGATTAAGAATATTATTTTACTTGTAGTTGCTTTGTGCTTATTGTAATTAAGGACGAGGAAGGCCGATGGAATTGAATTTAAATTACCAAAGGATATTTTTTATTTTCAATTCTTTACTAGTGATCACCCTATGATGATGTGCTAAAAACACAAAAGATAATTATTGGAATATTGTGATTTTTCACAGTGTAAAAGTGAAGTGCTATTGAATAAATTCTTTTGCCAAACATTCGTCGTAAATCTCCTTTAAAACGAGCGAGCGAGCGAGCGAGCGAGAGAGAGAGAGAGAGAGAGAGAGAGAGAGAGAGAGAGAAGGAATACATCAGAGAAGCGCGCTATTCAATACCCGGAGTGCAGTGCATGAAAAAAGAAGGAATACGAGCTGTCGGTGAGGCTGGATGGATCGTAGGTATAAGTCGGCGTTGGGGTATTAAAAAGTGCATGTGCACCGCCTTCGGTTCTTTCTTCGAAAAAGGTCTTTTCTTCTTTCTTTTTTATTTTTTTTATTATTATTATTATTATTTTTTTTTTTTTTTTTTTTTTTTTTTTTTTTTTTTTTTTTTTTTTTTTTTTTTTTTTTTTTTTTTTTTGATTATTTTCATTTATTTTTTCTGTAGTACACACACACACACGCACACGCACGTTTCTGTAAAGTATACATTTCGAGGAATGAAGTTCGCTATATCATTTATGATCGTCTTCTTTCATTCGAGTTTTTTTTTTTTTGATTTTTTTTCGCACTCAAATTTCTCTTTGACATACAAATTCTACAAATATTGAGCTTAGGTTATCCGGCGTGTAGATTTAAAATACTTTATAAATATACGAATGAATAAATATATGTAGCTCGTAAAGGAAATATTCATTTCTTGTTTATTCCTTGGGCATAAATTCTTTAAACATGAATGAAAACATATTCAGTGCTTATTATTCGAGATCAAAATTGCATTAAATTTAATTTCTCGTTATTAAGGGTATTCTTTACGTAAAAATCTAAGAATGGAGCTTTCATTTTTAACAACTCCTTTTCTCAAAAAGATCGTCCAGTTCACTTTATATTTCTTCTTCTTTTTTTCTCTTTTTTTTTTTATGTTTTATTTTTTTTATTTTTTGTTTTTTTTTTATTTTCTTCAAACAAATCACGAGGCAATTCCGCGTTGAGGGTTTTCTACCGACAGAAGCGAAAGATCGGCTGAAAACTTTGCTCTTCGGCTCTTTCACTATCTCTCTCCTCCCTCTTCCTTTGACTTGGAAATTCAGACTGACAATACACTGTTACAAGCGGTTGGCTACACATCTGCCGTACCTTAAAAGAATCGAAAGAGAATGTCAGAGTCCATCGTAACGAGCTATTTGTTACAATTTCCCCGTCCCTTTTTCATTCAACTGTAGACACCCACATGCCACCGTTTTCAGCGGGGAAGTGTACGCTTGTAAACTAGCTGGGAAGAGAGGGAGTGTAGGCTTAGAGAAACAGAAAACGAGCTATGCTGGTTGTCGGGGCGGGAGGAGCGGTTAGAAAGAAGCGGCGGAGGGGAAATAGGTTTGTCCTACGCCGCAGATAACCCACACGTTCATTCGCTGGCGGCTACTCCTCGCTAAGTAGAAAGGAACGGGCCCCAGAGAGAGAGAGAGAGAGAGAGAGAGAGTATCTTTGCGAAAAAAACGCGACGGAGGCGTCGGATGCACTCGCACACAAGGGCCGTTGAGCGCGAGCTCCACACAACTCACTTTTAAATCACTTGAAAGATATTTTCTTTCTTCTTTATTCATTTGCTCAACCATTTCAGTATATTTTATACATTGGGTATTTGAAAATGAAATGCTCTGTTCATTACATTACCAAATACATTTTTTTATTTTTTTCTTAAGCTGTAATTTAAAATACCGTTGATTTAAGAAAAGTAATTATTATTTTCATAATAATGAGGTATAAACGATTTTTACATTCAATGTCTGTGTCTTTCCAATATGGGCAAACACGATGATATAATGTTTGACTCTCGGTGTTCCTATGAAATAGTCTTTGTTTAGCTGGTGGGTAAAGGATGATGATGCTCATTGCGCTTATTAATTATTGCGCTGCTATTATTATTGCCCTCAATGAACGATAAAACGAACGGGATAGAGATGGCGAGATAGAAATAGATAGATAGATAGATAGATAGATAGAGAGAGAGAGAGAGAAATGTGCGAGGAGTGATAGCTACATGGAAGAGGTATAACGTGGCCAAAACGATTTAAAGCTATTAGATGAATGGTACATGGACTCATTCTTCTCACATTCTGTCTCTCTTTCTCTGCCCCTTTCTATAATTCTTTCATTTTTTCCTGTTGATTTCTTTCATACTTTTTCATTCTCTCCTTCTTTGTCTTTTAGTTACTACATTCTCTCTCTCTCTCTCTCTCTCTCTCTCTCTATCTCTTTCTCTTTATCCTCGTTCCATTTCGTTAGCTTTTCTCTATCCCTTTCTCTTTCACGTACCACCATTCTTTCTCATTTCCAATAGCTCAGTTCTCTGACTTCCCTATTACCCATTCTTTACCCTTATCTTTCTTCATTAATGTCGTGGCGTTGTTAAATCCCTCTCTCTATCTCGCTTGATCTATCTTAAAATTTTCGCAGGCCGGCACTGTGAGACCGCAGCGTTGAGCCGAGATCCGGTTGGATCCCTAAAAGAATGAGAAAGAGAGAGATAGCGTCGGTGAAGAAGGGGGAGGGGCGAGTATGTCATATCTCTTCTTCCTCCATCTCCTCCTCCTTCTCCATCTCCTACTTCTCCTACTCCTTCTAAACCTCCTACCTCTCTTTTCTCTCGCTCACAGGTAGACGACGATGGGGCAGCGACGCGTGATCGCGAGGCGTCGCACAGTTCGCGTGCGGCCGCTTGTCGCGGAAGAGTCGCCGTAGTAACGCCGATGGCACTCGCCGACGACGAAGACGAGGGCGAGCCAAAGAATCTCTCACATATTGGCGACGAAAAGTAAGAGAGTGAACGGAGAAGGGGAGGGTCGAAGTTGATCGTACGGCCACTTAACGAAAGCGTACTTTGCTTCCTTTCCCTTTCCCGGCTTCTTTTTCTTCTGCGATCACCTCTTCCTACTCTTCCACTTTCCCTTCCTCTTTCCCTTCTTCATCATCTTCATCTTTTTTTTCCCCCTTTCTTCTTCTTCATCTTCTTCTTCCCCTTTCTTCTTCTCGATCTTCTTTTTCCCCTTTCTTCATCATCATCATCATCATCATCATCATCATCAGTATCTTCTTCTTCATCTTCATCTTCATCTTCATCTTCATCTTCATCTTCATCTTCATCTTCTTCTTCTTTCACATCTTCTTCTTCTTCTTCTTCTTCATCGGTACCATCTCCGCTTATTGTGCTTTGTCCGGTTGGTCAAGATTTTCTCGCTGGAGATCCGAAGATAGGAGGGTTTTGTTTTCTATCCTTTTGGAGGGGTGGGTTTCGTTCGTCGGCATTAAAAGGATGAAGGGGGAAGGGGCGTGCGGGAGAAAGAGTCGGGAGAGTACGAATAAACGCGTGTAGAGGTCAAGCGAGTGAAAGTGGTATGAGCTGGAGTCTAGAGTGAGGAACGGGGTGGTGGTGGTAATAAGCAGTTTTGAAAAAGGTTGAGCGGAAAGCGTGCGGAGGAATAAACGAAAACAAAGCGGCGCGACCGGGTCTTGGCATTCTTTTTGCCCCGAGCCTATTGGCCTCGCGCACGTGCGAGCGTCTCTCGCTGTTCTCCGGTTCCGTGGCTTAACAGCTCTCGTTGGCTTTCAGAATGTGCCCGTAGAGCGCCAGCCAGGATGATGCAGAGGAGCTGCCGCTGAGAAGAGCAGAAAACAGAAAGCAGAGGGCAAAGAGTCGCGAGACAAGAGAGAAGAGGCACACAGAGAGAGGAAGATAGAGAGAGAGAGAGAGAGAGAGAGAGAGAGTGAGGGGGACAAACGACGAGGGAGGGAGCAGCGGCGGCGTCAGAGGGAGGGAGGGTCGAGTGAGTGCCCGCGTCCTCGTAGGCCGCATCCTCGTTCCGAGGCACCGAGGCCCGGAGGATGTGAGCATTACGGAGTCATGCTAATCGGCGAGGAGCCAGGAGGCGGCGTCCGAAGCACCGTTGCAGGAGCCGCTCTGAGAAGAGATGGCCGAGGAGCCTACGGCCGCGCCCTTCGACGGCACCATGCTCAAGTTCCTCACCCACAAGCTCAGGAGCCACTCGCTGAACGAGGACCCCAACCAGGAAAAGGTAGGTCAGCTAAGCGGTTGCTAAGCCGCCGACGGCGAAGAGCGTGACGCGGCGCTTTCTTTCGTTCCCAAGGACTGGCAGAAGCCGAATACGTCGCTCGCTCTCTTCTATCCGATATCCTCGTCCCTCGCTACTCAATTCCTCCTTTCTCGGCCCTCTGGATTTTCGTTTCCCGTCGCTCCCGCGAGTTCGCGCGCTCCGTTGCTCCGCTACTTTCTATGCTCACTGTGCACAGCCTCATAATACGTCCGAAGCGTCCCCATTCCATAACGAGCACTATTTATTTCCATACTTACGTAATCGTAGACGCCAATTACCGGCTCCGCTCTGTCCGAATCATTCATTCTCACCGACCCATTTACTGCTACAGCATACGCTACAACAAATCTGCCAGTCCGAGCACTTTTCACCATTCTCGGTGCAAGCATTCGTTATTAATAAATGCCCTTTTAATCAATTTTTAGAAAGTAAAGAAATTAGCCGAATATTAATAATAACAAATAATCCAGAATTATGAGATAATTGATATATAACATTAAACATTGAGGCTTGCTTGCTTGATCCTTTTATCCTTTTATCTTCATGTTAGGGATTGTTGCATTTATTTATAAGCGAAAAGCTTTCTTCGCTCTTACGACGGTTTGCAATTAATTGAACGATCGCTCGAAAAGGTAGTAAATAATTGAAATATAATTTCTTACAATATTTACAAATAAATATTGCAAATATCATTTACACGGCGCTAGATCAGTATGCTCCTGAATTTTCATTACGGCCAATCATTTACGGCCATCAATAACTACCGTTATTCAATAAATATTTAAGCGATAACGATTTAAATATATTCTTACGTATTTCATAAAAGAAAAGCTTTTTGCAATTCTGTTACTTTCTGTATGCCGTACAAACATTTAATAGACGGTTAATACTCACCTATTGCTTCTTTAATTCTATATAATTAGGCGATTAATCAGTACTACGATAGTCGATTTCTCTCGTCGATATTAATAATGCGATATATACCAATAATACGATATAATACCAATGATTCTAAAGCAAGAGATTATAATGAAAAGTTTTACGATTTTAATATTTTTTTAAATGATGTAATTTGTGTTTATTTTCGATAAAATTGCAAAGACATTATTACATCTGTATGATGAGTAACGTATAGATAACGATTATTTAATACGATATGCATAAAAGAGAAAAATATATAATATTCTCGAGCCTCGAGCTCATATTTTAAAGAACATTCAACATTAAAAGCAGTGCATCAGGGTTTAAAACATTAAGAATATAGTAATTAAAGATTTTAATTAAAGTACTACAATTAGCCTTATCGTCTTTTTTTAAAGATGAAGACTCTCCTATTACTAAATGAAAAATCATCCTATTCGAAACGAAAAAAAATAAAACAAAATTGATTGTAATGTTTAAACTGGAGATTTTATAAACAATTTTATAACAAATTATTTATTGTCTGTGTTGTGCTATAGATAGAAAGCATAAAAATAATCCGAGACGTTGGTCAAAGATAAAAATAATTACATTATTTTTATAGAAGATAACGTTAATAAGTAGGTAGGGGGAGAGGTATTTTATGCTAATTGAATTATAGTGAAAAGTGTCCTACCACTTACACTCCAATATTGTCAATGAAATTTACTTATGAACAAAATATAATAGCTACATTCCAATTCTGCATCTTGTAATAAAATTGTTCACAAAAATTCTTTCGCGCTGTTTCGGATCAGTTAATAAAATTTAAATATTTAATATTTAACTAGTGCCAATATATATATATATATATATATATATATAAGAAAAAATTATCTCGCTGTTTTAGTATAACATAAATTACCATTTAATTAATATTTGAAAGCTGTTTAAAGGGAATTAATATGAATAATTACCTTCGAGTTATATTTAATAATTCAACGGATAGAAATATCTAGTTTATATAGTAAATATACGGAAGTAAAGCATAAACATGTTATTATTTTATTTATTTATTTATTTATTTATTTTATATATATATATATATATATATATATATATATATATATGATTATAAGATTTTTTTCCAGACATTGATAATGAAAATATTTTGCACGTGTAACAATAAAAAAATAAAATATGTTGTACTATCATACTATGTATGACCTATTTAAAGTTCGAATTGATAAGAATTGATAAGAATTTTTACAAAATTTTATGTTAAGGAAGTAACTAAGAAAAGCTAAGACTTATTATCTTCATTTAAATTAAATCTATTCGAATTTTTATTCAAATATTCCTAAAAAGGTATATATTATTTATGCCGTTCAATTCAAATAACATATTATATCACTGTACTTTCAAATATTACAATAATACATATGGCATTGCATTATGTTATTACTATTATTAGTTACTTACTAGTCTATAAATTATGATATTCTGTTGATATTTATAATAACACCAACTTCTGCTCTATTTATATAAAATTTCATAAATGCATGTATAAGCATTCGTAAACTAACGCACTGATTTATCAATTGAATGCCGAATGAAAGACAATTGAAAGCAACGCGTTTTTTATTAATATAAAATCTATCATAAGCTAATAGCTTTTTACAAATTTCAAACTAAAAATTATTTCGATAATGTATATTAATGCCATTGTACAAAAAAAAAGAAAAAAATTTCCAAGTTGCATTAAACAAGTACTAAACTATGCTTCAAAATACGTAATACTTAAATTATCTTTAAATTAATTTTTATAATAATTAAGTCATTTTTATGATACGAAAGCTTTTAATTTTACAGGTGGATGATGATCATGATTCCGGTACCGAATCAGATGACGAATTTAAAAATAGTGGTGACATCACCGATGAACTCTCCACTGGTAAGATAATTAATAACAATATATTTTTAACAATTCCTTATTATTATTAACTATAAAATCGCATTCTTTAATAATTACCATAGATTATTAATGTTAAATGTTAATTATTCAAATTTGTAATAGTTTGAATTTCGTCTATGAAGTACAAATGAAACATCTTTTTAAATTGTTTTATTATTCACGTAACGTATTAAAAGAAAATCATAAAGTTTAATCCGAAACTCAAAGTCCATCCGTATATAGTAATTATTATTATTATTATTTTTTTTTTTTCAATCTATTAATATCTCATAAACCATGCAATAAAGTACTAATTACTATCAAATTACATGTTCTCCTTAGCTTTTAAAAATAATGATACTCGTAAATTAGATACAGTGAAAATATGATTATTTTAATTAAAAAGTGAGTGAGATTTAATCAACATATTTTTTATTTTTCAATCATTCTAATATTTTTCTCATAATATCATAATGTGATATTTAAGAGGTTCCATAATTTAACAAAAAAATTTTACAGTTTACTTTCTTGCTTTATCGCTTCATAATGCACTCTTATAAACCTACCGTATGCGCGCGCGCGCGCACACACACACGTATGCAATAAATATAAAAACATATTTTACTATATACAATATATACAGTATACTATTTTACTATATACTATACAGTATATACAGTACTATATACAGTATATTATTTTCACGTGCTTGTAATTTTCAGAGGAGAGGTACAATATAATATATCGATCACGTGTTTATCATATAATAATAATTATAATAATAATAATGCTGAGATATAAAATGCATAGATGCTATTAAAATCTAAACTACGAACAATGAAATAGCATTTGAAGGTCAAGAATTTACTATAAGTTCATTTGAAATATAATATGATAAGTAAAATTACTTTAACGATACACTAACATTAATAAAAGTAATTACTAGCATCTTATAAATAAATGATAATTTTTTTATGATAATAAATTAATGGTGAGAAATACGTAAAATGAAAAACGGATAAGACTGTAGAAAGTATAAATATGAATACAATTCATAAAGAATATAATGCGAAAACACAATATTATAAAATTATTTAAAAAAAAAAAAAAAAAAAAAAAAAAAACATGTAATTGAAAAGAACTTCGGAATAGCAAATGACTAACTAACTCATGACAGAGACAGATGTTTAACAGAAGAGACTATAAAAACTATATAGTGTAATTAAAATGATAAAATTTCAAATATTGAGGGCTTATTATCTAGTTAAACTTGTAGAATTTTCTTAATTATTATAAAGTAAAAAAAAAAAAAAAATAAAGGCAAATATTGTTTATAGAATTTATTTGATACATCAAGTAAATGGTTTTTTCGTTTCATACAGAATATGGAAAATAAATTTTGTAAATGAAAATCGAAACTGATAATAAAAATAAAAAAGTTTCTTTGCATTATGTTTTAGAATTAATATTAAATATTATCAAATACTAAATAGAAAAATAAATTGAAAAATGAATTGAGTATCTCTTGACACCTAAAACATGATTCCTAAAAATATCAGTAATAAATGTCTTTTTATTAAAAAAGGAGTGGCCTTTAACATTTTAATAACAGTACAGTTTACATTAGGCAAGTGGGGTAAAATAAAAATACGATCAATATTACGGCAAAAAAAAACTTTGCAAAAGTGTAAAAAATGATTAATGTATTACAATATAAATATTTATTATGTTTTCACAATATAGTATTTTAAGGTGTTAGGCATCATATACATGATGTAGGATATATTAAGAGTAGAAACTTCCTAGTGTGATAAATAAAATTAAAATACAAAAAACAATAATATAACTCTAATAGGAAATTTATAAAGTTTAACAAAAAATAATAAAATGAATGTGGATATTGAAACTAAGAATAAGATACTGTGGTGTAGAATTGTAATATTATAAAAGAAAAAGTATATTGAATGATTGAAAAGTGAAAATAAGTTATAAAGAATTTATGAAATAAAGTGAAGAATGGTCTACATAAATCATATATTATAAAAAAGAAAAAAGAAATGGAAAAAGGAAAAAAAGAAGAATTACGGCCAGAATGAAGGAAGATGATGATAAGGTTTCTATGTGTAATATGAAAGTGACAGAATGAAAAAGTAATAAAATGTACTGAAATATAACACTAGGGTATTCTAGACATAAAATATTTCAAATCACAAAGTAATAGAAATTGCAGTGATAATAAAAATGAATTTTACAGAAGAAACGAAATAACAAATAACATACACAAAGTGAAGATTGTATTGGATAAAAGAAAAAGAAACGAGAAATACAATTATTAAGAACAAGTATTATTAATTTTGTATCAGAGTTATACTTTAATTTCGTATATTTGAAAATATGCTTTTACCTTATTAACTAAACCAAGTTGCACGCGATTCAATATAAAGATAAAATTTAAACATTACAAGGATTTAGTGAAATTATAATCATTATAATAACCAGTTATTAGTTAACCTAAAAATAATAATTAAAACCGAATGTAAAGAGCAATACGATCAAATAAATTCTACATAGGCTTGGCTTATTCATGCGAATAAAGAAATGTACAATGTATGTTTGAAATATAGTAGGGACAGTATTAATTCAGTATATTATTTCTATTTAGTATACTCGTGTGTAAAGTAAAAATTTGGAGTTAAGAGTTATATTCTGCGTTGGAAATCATTCGAGCAAAATACATAAAATGTATACTGAAAATAGACAAGACAACAGTCTCGAATATCATGATAAAAGAGAGTATGTGGTTATATTCACTCATACGTGTGGCTGTATACGTCAAGAAATGAGTATGTGTGCGCGCTCGCCCGCCCGCGTATATATATATATATATATATATATATATGAAACGAGTGAGAGAGGGTTGGCGGGAGGGGGAGGGGAGGGGAAGGAGCGAGAGTATGCTGGACTAAATAAAAGTTTACTTTAAAAATCTGTAACAGTTTTTCAATAGAAATATCAACTATTTAGCCTACATTTTCTCCTACAAATTATTTACATTTTATATTTTTATTTTATTATTAATTTCAGATTAATTCACTCTGTATTCTGAAATATTTTTTTTTTTTTTTTTTTTTCATTCAAATGATTAGACCATGTATAATTATACTCCATATGTATTAGTCGTATGTGTCTAAATGTTTATTATCGCGTAAAAGAAAAGTTGCGTGACTACTCTACACGAGTCAGCTGCACTTAATGAAAACGAATTATTCATTAATACTATTTTTTCGACTTTTGCCTAGCAAATAAATTCATACATAATTCTTATTTAATTTCTTGTTTCATCCAAAATTTTAGATTTATTCGTTATCTAAATGTCGATAAAATTTTAGTATTTTAGAATCATAAGAATTTTGAAATCAGTCGACTATGTAAATTAGAGTTAAGTATTTAATTAGATATTTAAGGCTTAATGTTATAGATAAATTTCATATAGCTCGAGAGTTTTAAATCTTTTCCATTCATTCAATATATTGAATAATTGTATTAATAATAACGAAAACTGAGAAATTATTAACTATAGTATACATTGAAGCAATTTCAATTTTCATAATTGCTTGTATAATATTCGTCATAAGTATATAAATAAATAACGAATAGACTGTGTTAAAATAGTACTCGATATTTTAATTAACATAGTAATAGAGTAATTATCATAATAAAATTTTATTAGATTTACGAATATAATAATAACTTAAATTATTTGCCTATTCAAGTTTACACACGCACGCACACATGTTTGGTTTTATGTAATTAAAAACAAACGTAAAACAAAACGAAAAATTACTGCATTATGTTCAATTATTTATTTATAATAATTAAATTTTGTAGAATTACAATGCTTATTGTTGTATTTGAAAGAAAATAACATTCTTAAGAAGTGTATTGTTTTGCTAATATAAAAAAAGTATTTGCAAGTATTAAAGTTACTTTCTTCCGTGAATAAAGTGATACGAGTATGACAAGAACAACTAGAATGAATATTAAAAATTAAATTCTTAGATAAATAGTTTAGAAATCATATTTTGTAAATCAATTTTTTTTTGTTTTTTTGTTTGTTTGTTTGTTTGTTTATTTGTTTTTTTTTGCTTGTTTGTTTTGTTTATAATAAAAACTGCGTCAAATATGCATTGATCAGTATTCTTGAACGAAAAAGCCAAATTTTGTGCTTATTATCTACATAAATATAAAACTATTGATAGAAATGAACTTTATTGGTAAATTGAAATCAGTGATTACAGCATTGAAAGATAAACACTTTGAAAATATTCATACGGTTTTATTTTCATAATCTACGATTGGTCAATATTTCTATACGAAATTTAAAAACAAATTGAATTTTATAACTAAAAGCAATAATTACTATAGTGGTGTAGATAAAGAAAGAGTATGAATATGATATAGAATTCATATTTTTCAATATGATTATTGAAATATCAGCTGTCTTGTATAATTGTGTAAAAAGTTGTCAAAATATCTTGGCTAAGTCTGTAAATTATATAAAAACATATTACGATATTATTTTAATGTGGTCATAAATAAATCCAAGTAAAATGAAGAAGTAACTTGAAAAATGTATGACGATTTGTTAGAAATGCACGCGTAATGCGGATATGAAGTTTTCGAGATTCGTTATACATTTTCTTGAAAAGGATTCTATTTATATAATTTCTTACTTGCAACATATTTTGTCATATAATACTAATTCAATCGTTGATAAATTATAAATAATTGTTGTTGTTTTTTTTTTTGTTTTTTTTTTTTAATGAGTAAAATAAATCAAGCGAATGTGTTAGGCAATATGATAATTTCGAAGGCAAATTTTTATTAAGTAATTTTTGAATATCAGTTAATACGTTATTCACCTTTGGACGTTTGTAATATGATGAAGATATATTCTCTCTCTCTCTCTCTCTCTCTCTCTCTCTCTCTCTCTCTCTCTT